AAACACCTGTAAAACCTACAGCATTTTGGGCGAGGGCCACCTCATTGTTTTCCCACAAGAGAAAACCTGAGGGAAGGCGGTTGTGAGAGATTTATGAAAAGTCAGGGGGGAAAGTTCAAAGCAAGGATTTGGATGAATGACTCCTAAGTTTGCAGTGAATGTCCTAATCAGAGGCTGTGGGCTGTGGGGAGGGCTGGCATTTCATCATCTCATCTGCTGGAACCTCTGTGCTGTGTTTAAAGAGGAATTGAGCCAGGGAGACACCAAATCCTTCCACGACCTGGCAGCTCAATGCTGTCTGCCAGCCTGTCCAGCACCTGTGATTAACTATTTATACAAAATAAAACAGCACCCACAGCTGAGAGCTGGGCAGTGGGGAGCATTGTGCCACCACTGGGTAACCCACAGGGCATCATCATTAATTCACTGGCCTGGGACAAGCCAGCTCCAATCGTCAGCAGCAGGAAAGGAAATTGGACTGGACTTTTCACAGTGTAGGTAAATATCCCAGCCCTTGGCCACAAACTGATGGAAGGCCTACAGCTGTGCTTGGTGAAGTTAACCTTATCTTTGCCCTGTCCAACAAAACCAGGGAGTAGGACAAAAAAAATCTTAATTCTGAAAGACTGAAAAAAAAAAAAAAAAGCATTGCATCACTATAAATTTCTTGAGCCCTGATCCAAAACTTTTATTCTAGTCAGGATTTCTACACAGTGTTTCTGTCTACCCTGAAACCGGTATTTCTTAGCATTAATAAAATAATTGTTTCAGCTGATTACACTCCTGGACTTAATTGCTGCAAATAAGCCTACAGAAATTAACAGTCTTTAATTAACAGAAATTAACAGTTGCCAGCAGATTTCTCATGAAGGTTATTCTTGTAGCACAGCCAAACAGAAAGCAGTTGATAGGTTCCTAGAGCTGACAGGTTTCATCTTGAGATGTTTTCTTGGAAGTAGGCTGACTGGTGTAGGAACTTTAATAATCTGGAGGAACTGTCCGTTTTGGCCTGATGAACCAACATCTCAGTTTCAAGGCTGATGGATTCAAATTAAACAAGAAAATTTCTCACCTTCTCTGTGTTTATGTCATCAGGTTTTGACGTGTTCATTAGCAATGACAGCAGTTAGTTCTCAGAAGGGAGTATCTTCTTTGCTTCTCAAGGTGCAGAGCTTTTCTTTACAGAAAACAGCAGATGTTTAAATAAGCTATGGCTTTTGAACATTTACAAAATGGATTTCTTTCCATCCAGAGATCTCAAAGACTTTCCTACAGCCCTGCTCCAGAAGCTGGTTACCAACGTGGACACAAACAGTTAAAAATCTTCCCTTCAGAACTCACATAGAAGGTTTGTGTGTTAAAAAGCTTCTGCAGTGGTTAAGATTTCATGCTGGCCATAGTCTGTAATGATGAAGAGTTTACAATTAAAGCTGATGAGCTGGAAAATAAGGAATGAATTCAAAACGACTTTTTCCAAAGAGGCTCTGAAATTATGAGAATATTTAGCACCTAGTTTTTCCTCTTTTCTTTTTTCTTTATTTTTTTTCTTTAGGTGTCTCTCTGTCTCTTTAACCAGGTTGAAGACCAGCTGCGAAATTGACTATAGGCAGGCAGTTTTTAAAATAAATGAAACTCTAAGGTGGAAAAAAATTGCTGTAATTAAGAAATATACTTTGGTATTTCAAAACACAAGTGAAATTTTCAGCTTACACCAACATTTGCTAGACTAATAGGAATACAGACATATTGTCTGCAAGATAATCAAATAAAAATTAGAGCAGAACTGGGTCAGGTAGAATCTGCAAAATCATAGACTGCCTAATGGGCTGAATTGCTGAACTGTAGAATTCCATTCTTGACAACCCCTCTAGTAATTTTCTCTCTGAGTAATTTCCCTCTGCCTGTACCACTGATACTTTCTTGTTTGATACTTAAGAAAAAGAAATTCAGACACACGCCCAGCACATTACCACGAAGAGTCTGCAACTTAGAAATGATATAAGAAGTGTGCATGTCATAGCTCCCTAGACTTGATGAGCAAGCTCCCAAGAAAATATGACTTTTCCCTGATGCAATCATATAAGGCTCATTGACTTTTACCACATTTTGTTTGGCCAGGTGCTTGCAGAGCCCCTGCTCCAGTGGTGTCTTCAATTAAGCCACTCTTTGGTCCCTAAATGAAAGGGACAGCTTTTGGAGAGGGTCTAATTGGATGGGAAGGTGTTTCAAGCACCCCAGAACTGAACCAGCCCCAGTCTAGAAGGCAACATGTTGTTTTAACAGCTGGTTAAAGTCATATATACCAACAAGTGGTATAGGAATCAGTTGTGCTGGAGGAGCTGCCATGAGGAGACTTTCAAATGGAGCTGTGCAATACTCGCCTGGGCAAGAAGTCACTTCACTTTTTGCCCATCTCACCAGGCAAATGTTCAAAAAAATGTATAATTTTTTAGTCTACTGAAGTAAAAGGGACTAGGGACATGCATTAGGGGAAAAAGAGTAGGGCATCTAAGTCAAAAATAGCATCTCTGTCAGTAACAGTCATGAGGGGCTACAGGTAACTTGGAAACAGATTATTATGTGCCTATAGATCTGGAGCACTGAATTTAGCCTTGGCCATTACAAATGTAATGTCCTATAGTTCACTCCATAAACTTAATAAACTTCAAGAAAGGAAATATCTTAAATGCGCCTGAGTTTTAACTTACATTTGCAAGAATTTTTTTTATCTTATTACACTACAAGTTCAAGAGGACTTCTCACCAGTAACACTTTATTTTCTCCACTAGAAATTACAATCTATTTTGCAAACTATTAGATCATACTTGTCATTGTAGAACTTCTGTTTGTGATCAGCTACAGCCTCTGGGCCATCTCTTCCTTTGTCATTCCGAGGGATAAACTCTCAGATTATCATTATATCAGAATTTTGAGATACTTTCTCTCAGGGCTCGTGATTTTTGCACCATGCTGTTGAATGATATAGAATCATGGAATCATAGAATGGTTTGCACTGGAAAGGACCTTATAAATCATCTCATTCTAAACCCCCTGCCATGGGCAAGGACACTTCCCACCAGACCAGGTTGCTCAGTATTCCATCCAACCTGTCCTGGAACACTTCCAGGGATGAGGCACCCACAACTTCAATAAGATATAGTATGATGTGATATGATATGATTGATATGATATGATATGATATGATATGATATGATGATATTCTTCTCAATCAAGTTTCCAAGCTCATGCCATATCTGTAGCACGGATGCTCCTCTGCACTATCACTCAAAGATGTTGCCCTGTGACAGCAGGAGCAGAAAAACAAAATGTAGTCCAACAGCACTGTCACTCTCCAGAATAATAATTCAACTTTCAGTGCTACCCCTTGCTGTTGGCCCTTCATGTCCTGGATAGTACTGTATCGAAAATTGTATAAATATCCTAACAAATGAGTGTTTTCACGCCTTTTACACCTAGGAAATCTAGAAAACCAGTCATTTATTGGAACAGTCTGGCACAATCTGTTTTGTGAACATATCTTTACCAAGTAGGTTCCTAAACCATGTGAAAACTGGGAGTTTGGCACTAAGGGGAAACATAATTTATTTAAGATGCTAATGGAGGCAATGCCAAAAGTGCTTGCTTTTTACAGAACATCAGAATGAGGTTTTGTTGGATAGAGCAAGGAGAAACCTGATCTCCTAGAAGGTGTCTCTGCCTGTGGCAGGGAACATGATGATCTTTAAGGTCCCTTCCAACCCAAACTGTGATTCTAAGATGCTGTAATTCTGATATAGCTGCTGAAGTAATTGGAATTCCACTAACTTGTTGTTGTCGTTGTATTTATTTCAAGTTTTATAGGAAGCGTAAATATGCTTTGTGGCCACAAAAGTTGTCCAAATGTTTGTGTTAACAAATAAAATACTGAGTTCTCTTTCTCATCTGGTTTTCCTCTAGTTGTGCCCAGTCAGACATTTAATTAGTGCAGCATATTGGATCTGCTCTCAGCTGCTTTCCGCAGTGGTGAGCCATTTACATCTGTACACAGTGGGTGTTAAGCAGCACAGCTCTGATGTGCTGTGCTTTTACAGTGACCTTTCACAAGTGTGAATGGTTATACAAGGTACCAGGGACTGGTCTGCTGGCCCCTCTTTGGACAGCAAGCAGGATAGAAGCTGGTATGTGTTTGAGTGGCCTCCTAAAGGAAAATGCCAGGACAGCATGAAACAGGATGTTTTGGCTTGTTAGACTCTAAGCTCTGCTCTGTTTTTTAAAGGTCTGTTTTGAGAGTACACAGGCTTCTGTATCTGTACACATGACCACAAAACTGCCACATGAAATTCCACAATCTGCAAGTAGCCACGTTAGCACACCATAAACAATTGAACAAGATGATTATTGTGTGTTACTTTCAGCTGAAACATTCTACTCTATTCTATTCTATTCTATTCTATTCCATTCCATTCTATTCCATTCTATTCCATTCTATTATCTTCTCTTCTATTCCATTCCATTCCATTCCATTCCATTCCATTCCATTCCATTCCATTCCATTCCATTCCATTCCATTCCATTCCATTCTCTATTCATTCTGAATGACACACCAAGTGGCTTTGTTTCATTTTGCATGACAAGATGAATGGGCCAAGCATACTCATCAGAGATTCATAGAATCACAGAATGGTTTGGGTTGGAAAGCACTTTAAAGCTTTTCTAGTTCCACCACCCCTGCCATGGGTAGGGACAATGTCCCTTATCCAGCCTTGAAAACTTCCAGGGGTGGGACAGCCAACTTTCTCTGGGCAACCTGTGACAGGGTCTCACCACCCTCACAGGGAAATTTTTTTCCCTAATATCTAGCCTAAACTTATTGTCTTCAAATCTGAAGGCATTCCCCCTATCCTGTCACCCTAGGCACTTTTAAATAGTCTCTTGTTCTCCTATTGGTTTCCTTTAGGTACTGGAAGGCCATAATTAGGTCACACCAAAGCCTTCTCTTCTGCAGGCTGAACAATCCCAATTCTCTCAGCCTTTCCTCATAGCAGAGCTGCTCATCCCTCTGATCAACTTGGTGTTCTCCTCTGGAGTCACTCCAAAAGGCTGATGTTCTCCCTTTCTGGGGATCCCACATGACATGATACCTTAGCAGATCCTGCCTTGGTCTGGTGGCAGTCCAGGAGGTTAGTTATGAATCTCACATTTTGGTCCCTGTGCTTGTCTCCATTGACTAATTTTCATCCCACTGGGACTTTGGAAGCTTAGAAGTAAGAGGTATTAATAACAGCAACAATAAATGTGATTAATCATAGAGAAAACCCTTTTTACAGGCAGAGCAATGCTGCTTAAATAATTCCAGGGGGATAATCTTGGATAATCTTGCAATTCCCAGCTATGCTAACCTATCCCATCTTTTCCACTGCCTGACATAGACTTTGATGCTGTAGCTGAGGACACAGAATTCTTAATGCTTTTCCCATCTGGAATGTTTTCATCTGCTATACCAGCTGTTTGTATGATCTACTGTAAGAAAAATATAACTGTTCACTTCAATCCATGAGCATTCAGTAGAGATAGTTCCAAGGTGATCAAGTAAGGATTATACTGAATAAAGATCTCCCTATCATTTCCATGTGCCTACATAACTTGTAACAGTCCTAACCTCAAAAATGAGGTTTCCCTCCATTGGAGGAAATTGTTTCTTTTCAAATTCTCCTCTGGCAGAAGGAGATATTTTCCTCCAAACAGTTCCCTCAAAGGTTTCTTCACAAACTGATATCAAGCTTCAATGTGGAGAGAAAGGCAGAAATGTGTTTCTCAATTTGGATCTCTAATAAAAATGTGTATATAATCCTGCTCAGCCTAACTAAACTGATGGGAAAAAATTGTTAGTAGAAAAGGTGGTAGTAGAAGGGTGAACTATGAATGCTCTCTAATATCAGCTGTTTGCATCTGTAATTCAGGTAGTAATATGCCCCCCTATTCACAAGATGTTTTCCTCCTGTTTCCAAAACAGCTGGTCCATTTCAACAACTTCTCCAAGTCCATTTGAGAAGGAGTGGGGGATGTCTCATTCTTCTGTGCTGTGCTTAGACCCTTTTTTCCCACCCCTTGCTTGTGATCATTCCTGATTGTTCTAATTTGTCTTGCTTTCATACTGAACAGCAGTGATGCAACAAGATTGTTTTGTCAATTTGCACTTTCCAAAATGACCTTCAGTAATTTAAGAGGTTTTTTAAATTCCACTTCTCATGGATCTCATCCAGAAATGGATCACCCATCTCACTCTTTCTTGAATCTCTCACTCACCACATTAAGCAGATTATCTTATTTTGCCATTCAGGACACTGCAGACTGGTATTGCCTAGAATATTTGCCATACCTTAAAACCTAAAGCTATAATGAGTAAAGGCTGGAATTTGCATCCAGGTTTTGTTCCTTGTTGTTTCATGTAACAGGGGAAAACACTGCTAGCTTCCTAGAATCCTCCCTCAATTTCCATCCCGATGTGAAATACTAATTAATTAGCGTAACATTTCCAAATTAATTTAGGAACACCAACTCTTGCTTGATTTCATTTTATCTGAATGAATCATTTGCTTAAGAAACCAGCCAAGGTAGTCTTGGAACTGAATATGGAATATGCCTTAATTAGGGTGTTGAGGGACCTTTTCATCAGCTTTCTTAGCTTTTTCTAGTTTTGCCCCAAGCACTATGTTTTCAGCCCAGAACACAGATATCTTTCTGGGTTAACCCCTTGGGTTTTTTTGTTTTTTTTTTAATGACAGCAAAAGCTATTCCTACCCTTACTATTTGGGCTCTGAATCTTGCTTCATTCACACCATTTAACCTAGATTTTTTTATTATGGTTCTTCCTTCCAGAAGGCATGTTTCATTTGAGTCAAGCAGAGGTTATTTTATCAAATAGCTGCTGTCAGCTATCACCAGTGTTAAGAAAACTGTGCTTTCATTTGTATTCCACCGTAGAAGACAAAATATTTGAAGTTCTGAAATTGTATATATTACTAGCTTTTTTGATTAGGTGGATGAATAACTTGATTGAAACTCTGGTTGTAAAAGTTTTGGAGATGTTGGCATGCTTCCAGGATGAGGGTGAGTTTAGATTTCATGACCATGTTATGGTTTCAGTAACAGATAACCACATGTAGTCTGGAATGTGATTTTTTGGGGGCAAGGGGAAGCAGGATGTATTTTACATGAAAACAAGAATTTTTCAGGAACTTTCTGAAATAAGGTCTGACCACAAACTTTTTTTCCCCCTCAGTACAAGGCAGTGGGTGTGACCACACAGGGGCATTTTAAAGAAAGGCAGCTTGAAAGAATGGAAAAGCACAGAAAATATTTTCCACATTTATTGAGCTTTCTGCTGTCTTTGGACCTTTTCTTGGACTGCTGGTTTTGGTTTCTTCTGTAGCTCTGTTGCAAGGACAGATTTAGCTATGCTATTTTCAATCACTCATCACAAATCACACATTCTCCACTGGATCTGGTGCAGTCCCTCTTCATTCTCTTGCTGCTCTGAAGCTCATCTTGTTTATAGCCCAGGGGGTGGTTACATAGACAGGTAAGAGAGAAAAAAGGCCCTTCAAGGCTTCATGTGGCTCCTCCCCTGATCACCTGCAGGTTCCAGGAGAGCTAGTAATCACAAGACACTATGGAGGTTAAAAAAAATTGGCCAAAATTCCAGAAGGTGTCCTTACTGCCTATTCTTGGCTGAATAGGACTGTTAGTAGAAAAAAAGATGGCATTACCCATGCTATGTTCTTATGCGGCCCCTTGACTGTCTCCTCTCCTTTTAGCAAAGCAGATTTTGTGTCTGTTCCCCCTCTAGCAGGGACTCAACACAGAGCAGAGCAGCCCTGGAGCAGCACTAAGCAGCCCTGAGGACAAGCCACTGACTTTGTGACTGAGCCAAAATGTCTTATCATCCAGGTCTTGCAATAAATTGTGATTGAGAGAGTTTAGTGAGTCACTATTCATCAGTATTTGGGATGCCAGACAGTTCCTATGCATTTGGAGTGGTAAGCTGAGGTGGTAAGAGCTGTTTCATGAATGACATTTTAATGGAAGCCACAATCATTATAGGTGTCTTATCCTGACAGTATCTTTAGCTTCATAAGGGGATTCAGTCATACCAATTTACTCATGCTCAGTCTCATTCCCAGTCAAGGGTGTGAAGAAACATCTGCTAAATGCAGCAAAGGTAGAGTGGTACCAGTTGTACCTGGCTGGCCCAGGCTGGTCAGTTGTGGTCTTGTCTGTGTGTGTGCATGGAATGCCAGAGAAGTGACACCCCTGAGTAACCTGCAGGTGTCCAATTCCCTCCATAGGAAGTGAAAGGTTTAGGAAAAGGAATTTGTTATTTATCCAAACCCACAGGACTTAGGCATAGACATGGTGTTCATGTCAGGTGCACCCACAGACTAAATTCAGCCTATTTTGGTAAAAAGCTTCAGTCTCAGCTTCCAGCTGAGGCTGGAAGGGATCTCTGGAGATTTTCTGGAACAACTCCTGCTCATCCTTGGTCAGTCTGAACAGGGTGTCCAGGGCTGTGTCCAGGGATGGAATGCCTGGGATTGTTCCTCCCCAGGGAGGGAATTTTCACCTCCCTTTTCTAAGCTTCACTGGGTTCCTGTAGACCCATCCCTCCCAGTTATTCACCTCCTCCCAGTAGTGTCACACCCATACCCAGTCTCTCTGTCTCCCAGTTTGGTTCCTTCTCCAGACTCTCTGAGTCCTATTTCCCTGTGCATCAGTGAAGATATTCAATAATGTTGGTTCCAATATTGGCACCCTTGTTTCCCAGGGGCACCTGGTCTCTGCTGGGCTTTGTGCTGCTGATTGCAACAAGAGGTAGCAGCAGATTCCCACAGAAGGTGATTCAGAGCTGGTGTCTCTGAGGAGCCTCATGTGGAGCAGCACAGCTTTCCTTGCCACAGATGGCAGCCTCAGCAAGGCTCCTGCTGCTTGCCACAGCATTTTGCCCACTTCAGGCACCATTTCACCCCAGCAAAGGGTGAAGCTAGGCATGCCATCACTTATGAAGCAGTGGTGGCTCCTGTCCCCAGCAACAGGTCCTGAAAGTGGCAGGGACCCTGAGGCTGAGGGCAGGCAGAATTTTCTAATAAAAGACCATCACCTCTTCACTTTTCATTAAGAGCAAGATCATGAGTGAAAGATCCAGCTCTCTCCTAGTTATAAAGCATATAGTCACACTGTCATGAAGAAACACCTCCCTCCAAAAAAGCAATTTATTTAAAATAAAATAAACTTTAGGTAAGCTTTACATGCTAAGCTATATACATTAGGAAAAGAACCAAAAAAAAGATTCTTCAAAAATATTATATTTCTATTAGTTTTTAATTAAAGGAGGTTCTTTGGTTCTTTTAGATTTAGGACATTTATTATTGCTCTCTCATACAAAAAAATGAAAAATAAAGCCTGGTAAAGAACCCTCCAGGATTTTTGCAGTAGGGAAAAACTGCAGTGAGGAAAAATATAATTGGTGAGGTTTTGGTGAAGACATTTGTCTTGCTGCCTATTCTGTGGTGTCAGCCTCTCCTCAGCAGTGCCAGCAGGATGAGCCACATGGCCACATCTCAGTACCCTCTGCAGAGCCTTCCTACCCTCCAGCAGGCTGACACTCACAACCAAATTTGTCTTATCTGTAAATTTGCTGAGAGTGCACTCAATCCTCTCACCCAGATCATCCCTAAAGATATTAAACAGGGCTGGCTCCAGCACTGAGCCCTGGGGAACTCCACTTGTGACCATCCTGCAGCTGTCAGAAAGGGGTGGGCTCTGCTCATGGGACCCTTCTCTTCTCCTTCACTGCACTCAGGCACATATAAATAAACATATTTCATTTTTGCCTCATCTTCATTCCCCCCAGAAAGTAAATATCCCTTGCTCTACTCTCCCATGACTCATTCACAAACCTTCCCACTTCTAAACTATTTTATTTTGTCTTGTCTCATACTTGTTTATCTTGGGTGCAATCCTAACCTCACTGAAGTCAGTGGCAAAACTCCCATTGACTCAAACTGAGCCAAGATTTCTTCTTTTGTCTTGATTAGATTGTGGGTGTGTTTGCCTTGAATATACTTAATCCTGTCCTGGTTGGATTGTAGCTTTTGGATAACTGCCACGCTCTATCTCTGTATTTTAAGCAGTATATAAGCATTTGCTGTTCTGTGAGTCTTGAAGGATAATAATTAGCATGAAGGATTTACCACAGCAGTTTAGGAAGGTGTGGATGGAGGCAAATAAAGGGAATCAAACACAGGGTTCTGTGTTTCAGACCTAATACTTATTTAAAACGAAGGCAGGGACCACAGAGGGGAAAACATTGCTCCTGTGATTTGAGACTCAGGGCTTATGGAGCACATCCGCAGGGTTACAGCACACTGCAACTGCTATTGCAGGGAAATGCTGATGCCACAGAAAGCAAAAAAGGACGGGGTGACTGCAGTGCAATAATAACTCAGACGGGCTTAGTGAGAGGGAAAAGCAGCTTCCGTGCCAACGAGCCAGCACTTCTGCCGTTCCAACAGCAGAGGAGAAAATGCTGGTTGGCAGCCGCAGACAAAATAAAACAAAACAGCCCATTAAAAAGGCACAGGGCAGGAGGTCTGTGCTCAGATCTGCTTCCTTGCAGCAGGCAGAGACAACCCTGGCAGGCACTGCAGTGCTGGAGGCAAACACGGTCAGTCCTGTGCCACAAGGGGCCGAGAACCTCATCATCCCTCTTGGCATCCCCTGCCCTCAAAACAGGGAAAGCACAGCCTTCTCCCCACTGCTCGTTTGCCTGGGGTCACCACTGCCTTTTGAAAAGTACCTTTCTTTCCCTGTAGGGAGTGACTTCCCAAAAGATAAGCTCTTCTTCCGTTGCCAAGTCTGTTCCAGAGGGAAATGGTGGAAATTTGTTTTTTTGAGGACACAGAGACTTGACTGAAGAACAGTCGGATGGGAACTGTGGGGTGGTTGGGATAGCTGAAAACATCTATTCTGCCTCTTTGTGTAGAGGTCTGTAAACTTCATAAATCAACAAACTACAGAGGGCACTGCTGCCAACAGCTGATAAATCATTTCTTCTGAAGTTATATCTTGGTTGTGAGGGGGGAAAAGCCCCTGGCACAGGTTTCCCAGAGAAGGTGTGGCTGCTCCATCCCTGGCAGTGTCCGAGGCCAGGCTGGACAGGGCTTGGAGCAACCTGGGATAGTGGAAAAGTGTCCCTGCCCATGGCAGGGGCTGGAATGAGGTGATCTCTAAGGTCCCTTCCAGCATAAAGCATTCTGTGAGAGATTTGATAGCACACCCACGGTCAGGAATTAGTTCTAAAATCAACTCCTATTTACCTGGTAGTAGAAAAGAAAAGAAAACAAACAAACAAAACGCATAAAAAACAACCCAACCAAAAATACAGTTTAAAATTTCAGATAGCCTATTACAAAACTAATCACTAATTGAAAGTCATTCTGAAAGGTATAAAAATTACCAAGAAAATATATCTCTTTTAGAGAAAAATTACCAAATTTTGAACACGGGGGGGCGGGGAAGATAAGCAGAAATAAAATATGATCTTTTGATTAAGATACCTGAGGTTGCAGTCCTTTAGAGTATGTTTCAACACAGTAACCTGATATATATTTACTAAATTGTTTGGCACATTCAGCATGTCCCCAGGGAACTGTTGGAGGGAACTAGCAGTACATTTTTCACTCCTTCCCTGTGCATTAGCAGACATAAGGTCACACTAGTATAGCAAAGATGGGTGCAGCCTCAGGCTCATTAGCTCACAGCAAGCTAGCCAGATGAGGCAGCGTGGTGTTTTCCTTTCATCATTCAAGCTTGAAAGGAAACTGTCGGCAGCCACTTGCTCTTAAAACAATGAAAATTTAGGTGACAGCAATCTCATTAGCTGAAAAGTAGCATTCAGAGAAGATAAAGATTTCTAGGTAAAGATTTCCCTCTTCTGCAGCACACACGCACAAACTTATAAGCAAACCATGTCCTTTGAATGCAAAAATCCATGTGTGAGAGCAGGAAACAGTGCTTGTTAAACTGCAGCAGCCACTGTGTTTCAGTGAATTATATATCTTGCAGGAAAATCAATGTCTGGATGACTGGCTTCCTTTCAGAATAATGCATACATTGTGGATGTATATACATATTTACAGAGCAGCAGTTTAATCTGTAACCTTTGCCACAGGACTGACACTTTCCTCTGCATATGATTTCTTTGTCTTGCACAGAACTGAAATGCAGAAAATGCAAAGGCCTATAAATACTCCTACTCTCAGGGTTTTCCAGGCTTCAGACGTGATACATGCCCTGCTTGACAATTAAATACCTTTTGCATTCCAATTACTGTATGTGAAAGTCTATTCACGATGTTTTATTGGTAATATTTCATCACTGTGAGCTTTTAAGCTGAGTGGAACTGTATGCTCATGTGGATTTCCTAAGGTCCAGAAGATCTGGGGTTGAAGACATATTTACAGTCTTTTTATGTGTTTGTTTGGGTTTTTTAAAGATTCTTTTTTTCTCTGTTGTTGAAGACTGACTTAACAGAGGGATGCTTTCCCTGCTATGTTCTGTGGGAACCCAATAGTCTTAATGATCATTTCTGAGTTCCCTGGTGGAGGCATGAGGAGGGTTTGTGTTGTTCTCAGTGATGGTGGTGTTCCAAAGTGTCAGCAAACACTGGGAGAAAAGTACTTGCTCCCAGCCCAGCTGTCATATATGAGGAGGCTGATTACCAGAGGCATAAAAAGCTACCAGATGTCAAGCTTCCAGTAAAAATTTGTGGCATGCCACTCCGTAGGAGTTTCTTGAAAATCATAGATGTAAAGGGTTATATTTGCCCTTCAAGTTTACATCTCAGCTTCTAATATATTTTCTTAGACTACCTCCCACTAACAGCATTAACTTCCTTTTAATGACTCCCTGCCTCAACTGTTGCCTTCCCATCTTTTATGATCTTCCTGATTCCTATCTCTCCCCAGCTCCGTAGGGCACATTCTCTCTCCAGGAAGCAGGAATCCAGTCATTCCTATTATTGCTGTTGCAGTAGTGCTGACAAGCCCAAACAGCCTGTCAGTGCCACCAGGAGAGGGTCTCCCAAAAATTCCCCCACGGCCCAGCTACTGGTGGCTGGCTGGCTGTGTTCCAGCAGGGAATACCAGGTAATGGTCTCCAAGCCCCCTCTGGATCACCTTCCTTCCTTTCCTGGTTACCTCTCAGCCCTTCAGTTTGTGTCAAGGCTGGATTTTGCCCTCTGAGCCACATTCTTTTCCCCAGCCCACAACAGATTCTCTCCCAGTTGCTTTCTCATATTCTTGTGTTCATCTTTCAAGGTGCTGAGGGACAAAACTGCTGGAGTCACTCTCTCAACCTTCTTCTTTGCATTGGGACTTTGCCAGTCTGGACAAAAGGTTCTGGTTTTCCCTTACAATGTGTTTTACCTATTTTGTTTTTTTTTTTAATTTTTTTCCCTTAACTTATTTATCAGAAATAATATCAGTATATAAAATAGCCTTTGGTCCCTTTGCATAAACAATAACCAGCCTGGATGAAGTTTGCAAGGAGAGAAAGTAGGTCAAAACAATGTGATTAAATCATTCCAAAACAATCATTGGAAAGAATCAAATTCACACCCATAGGGCTTATGTGAGCAGATTCAAACTTGCCAGGGCTTTGGCATCTTTTGCCATCTCTGGCAATTACAAGCAGGATTCACCAAAGCTTTATGAATCGAGGAAACAAAACAAAAAGTCCAAAGCTTAGAAAACATTTTTCATCTGCTCTTAAAAAAATAAAAAATAAAAAAAAGAAAGATTATTTGATCTTCACAGCACTTTATATTCATTTTTTACCAGGTTGAACTCAGTAACTGCAGCAGCTTTTAAGTGTGGCTAGGCCTCAACTCCACTGGAGAGCTTCCAGGAAAGCAGAAGAGAAATGGGAAAACGTCTTGGTCATTGCTACTTTCCATTTATTTTGCACACTTTGCAGAATCTCAGTAGATATCTGCTGAAAACCCTTGTGAGGCACTTATCCCCAGTTTGTAAGTTTCCCCAGGGAAGGGCTAAGCCCAGAACTGCCCAGGAGAATCAGTGACTCTGGTTCTGATGGCTGGTCTGCTACAGGGCAAGTTTTTTGCCTTCATTTTCTCTTAATTAAGCCTCAAGAGCAAAGGATGAAATGTTTCTGAACCCAGATATGTGGCTGTGGTTCAGCTAGTTGCTGATTTCACAGAGGCTGGTGCAGAAGTGCAAAGTTGTCCATCTTTTCATTACTAGGTTTTTCCACTTACACTAGGCGTGAATCTAGACCCAAACAAATCAATATTAATTTTTTTTTTTTTAATTAAAAAAAAAAGAGAAACAAAAAGTCCTTCTTCACAGTCCCTTCCACTAAATTTGAGCCCTTTGTAGGATGATTTGGAACCAAACTTTGTGGTTGGCACCATTTTCTGCAATAAGAAAAAAACAAAATCCTGGATGCAAATACTTCTACATGCAGGAAAGCCTGAATCTGGAAATGTGTGTCTTGTCCTAAATGTCCCTACAGCACCTTTCCCCAGGAGATATCTCTTGTTTTGTTGATGGCAACTGCACAGCAGCACAGAATGTCAGCAGCCAGCAGGCAGGAAAACTATCTAAAAGCTGAATAAGGCAGAAAATAGAGACTTTAGTCACCCAAGATGTCCCTCAGTTGAGGAGGTGCAGAAAATGCAATTTGCTTCATTTCTTCATCAAGCCTACTGGGTTCACAGAGTTCATGTTAACAATTGACTCATGCCAATCATCACTTTCGCCTTCAAAAGAACTGATGAAGATGTCACTTCACAAAAAGCACTTTTCTGGACCTTTCACTTTTCCCACATGAAATATTTTCCAACCTGAAGTAAAAAAAATAAGGGAAAAGAAAACTTTAAAGCGTTTTTGGCTTTTGTTTTTAAGAAAAGAGGGGAAAAAATGCTACAGACCTTCTGTGAATCCCACCCTGTATTTCATATTTCTCCAGTGAGGCTCACATTCTTTTATTCAGATTCCAAAAGTAGACATAATTTGTTCCAAATGTTTTCAAAGGCAATCAGCAGCATCGACTTACATTCTTTCCAGGGTTGGGAGAAAACTGTGAAATCTTCTAAACACTAATAGAAGAGTGACTGAGGGGGAGGGATGGTGGAGAAGGGCAGATGGAAGAAAGTGAGAGGGGAAAAAGAGGAGAAAGAAAGAGGAGAGGAAAAAAAAAAAGGAGGAAAAAAAAAGCATAAAGATAAATGCTGATGATCTATTTGCTTATATTGTTACAGTTATGACTCCTTGAACAGCTCTGGAGAGACTTTACCTCTTGCCAGATGCATATTTCCATTGGCAAGGTAGCTCACAGTTCTTTGCATGATATTATGTAGCAGAATATGATTGAGAAATAGGCCATAAAATTATATATTTATTGCAAGTCTGTCAGTGCGATTTTTTGCAGGGAACCTCAACATATAAATCCCTGTGTGCTGCATGTCTATTTTGTCTGGTAGAGGTCTTTGCTGAATTACTCACCAGTCATTGTGCAGGTTTAGAAGTCTGGACAGATGTTACCCGTGCAAATAAAGGCAAGAATGCTGCAATTTATCTTCCATTTAAGCATCTACACAAGCCACAGGGTTGTTGAATGTCTGCCTCCAAGATGCAGTGTGGTCTGGAGCTG